TACTCGCATTAGAAAACAAAAAGATGGACTTCAACTTTTAGACAGTGGATATATAAAACAAATAAACATTTAACCATGCTATATCGACAAAGTTATCCAACTAACATAATTTACAAAACGACACTGATAATGTTAAATGCTGATTCAACATTGAGATTGTGTTGATGTTTATTTCAAGTAAATAAACCAATCAAAGTCAGTGAAAAAAAGAACACCCATGTTTGATTAACAGCTGTTATATTACTAGTCGAACGGCGAACCTAATTACAGACGTGGGTTTATAAATATCTCCTAAAAAGCTTTTTTTGTTTGTTTGATTTTGTTTAACGTCCTATTAACAGCTAAGGTCATTTAAGGACGGCCTCCCCTGTGTGCAAGATGCATGCGTGTAGTGTATGTGTGTGTATTTTGGGAGGCTGCGATATGTTCGTGTTTGTCTTCTTGTAATAGCGCGGAACTGATGCCGACTTTATAGTGCTACCTCACTGAAACATACTGCCGAAGACACCCAGCAGGACGCCCCACCCGGGCACATTATACTGACAACGGGCGAACCAGTCGTCCCACTCCTAATTTGCTGAGCGTTAAGCATAATAAGCAATCATATAAAACATTTTCTACACGTTACACATGTCACGGCATCTGTATTCCTACGACATTAAGAACGAACTTTGCATTTTCTTCTCCTCTTAACGCTGAGGTCATTAAATGATGAACCTCTATGTTTGTAATGCATGTATGTATATGTGTATTTGAGCTTGAGCGACATTTCACTTCTTTGCCTCCTTGCAATCCGATGCCGACTTCGAAAATGCTTACGAACTGAAATACCATGCTGAAGGCGCCCAACACAGTATTCTAGGTATCATTGCAGTGAGAACGGGTAGTTCTTGCGATTACCCTAACTACCATTGTAAGGACTTGCGTATTATGTGGACAGAATCCTTTGACTTCTTACAATTGCGTGGACATTCAACACCCAGGAAAAAGTGAGATACAAACCAAAAAATCTTTAGTAAACATAAAGGTTGTTAATAGTAGTTAGTAATATAGAGATCCCAAATGTTTCAGTGGTTGCAGTAAAACTAATTTGGTCGGGGTTTTTTTGTCCCAAGTAGAAGGCACAAACGCAAATTCCCAATGCTGCAGGGGTTTCCCCAAATTTGTTGCCTCTTATAACATGCTACAAATCTTCTATATCAATAGCCCGAAGGCTATTAGTATAAGGTTCTGTTCAAGTTACATGAAGTTCACCGAACATTTTGCTCATCTCGCTAGGCATAGTTGTTGCAATTTCTATGCTCATCAACATTATAATATTTATCAGAAGTAAGGAAGGTCTGAGGTCCTTTACCGGTTGAGATACACAGGCATAAAGTCATCATATTTGGCTGAAAGCTTCACTGGTAGGAACCCAACATAGTTTGAAAACGAAAATGACCTTGACCTACTTTCACGGTCAATCAAATGTGTCAAACATTTCAAACGACTTCTTCTAAAGAACTGAAAGGAATAGAATCTTCAAATTTATCTGGTGGTTTTTTGGAATAGAGCCCGACAAATTTTGAAAATGAAATGATATTGACCTACTTTCAAGGTTACAGCTGTCAAATATGTCAAACATTTCAAACGACTTCTGCTGAAGAATTGAAAGGTATAGAATCGTCATATTGGGCTGGTTGATTGAGAATGCTAATGCCTTTGACTTACTTTCAAGGTCACAGCGGGCAAATTAGTCAAATTATTCAAACGACTTCTTCTGAAGAACTGAAAGGTATAGATTTTTCATATTTGGCTGGTGGCTTTCTGGGATAGAGCCTGACACAGTTTAAGAATGAAAATGACCTTAACCGACTTTCAAGGTACCAGGGGTCAAATGTGTCAAACAATTTACGACCTCTGAATAATCTTAGAGCATATATTTATAATATTTGGCTGGTAGCTTCCTGGGATGGTCCCTGGCAAAGTTTGCAACCTGGATTTCCTTATAAGGACACAAGGTTCAAATATGTCAAACACTCTATACAACTTCTTCTGAAGGACTAAAAGTTATAGAAGAATCTTAATATTTGGCTGGAAATTTTGGGAACGACAATGGCCTTGACCTTCTTTCAAAGACTCCGGGGTTTAATGGGTAAAATGTGTCAAACAAACAACTTCTTCTGAGAAATTGAAAGATAAAGAATCTTAATAACTTCCTGGGATGGAGCCTGACACAGTTTGCAAATGAAAATAAGCTGGATTTACTTTTGAGGTCACAGGGGTCAAATATGGCAAACACTTAAAACGACTTCTTCCGAAGAACTTAAAGGTATAAAATCCTTAAATTTTGCTGGTAGCTTTTTGGGATGGATCCTGGCAAACTTTGCGAGTGAAAATGACCTTGACCTACAGTCAAGGGTACATGGGTCAAATATGTCAAAAGCCTTCCAGCGAATTCTTCTGAGGAACTTAAAGTTATAAAGGTATAGAGCATGATAAAGTTTGTAAATGAAAATGACCATGACCTATTTTCAGGGTTACAGGGGCCAATATGTCAAAAATTCAAACGACTTCTGATGAATAATCGAAAGACATATAATCATAATAGCTTTTTGTTATAAAGCTCACCAAAGTTCGCAAATTAAAATGACCTCAACCTTTTTTTAAAGGTCACAGAGGTCAAAAATATTTCAAACGATTCGTTCTGAAAAAAAAAGGAATTGATTCATAAGATTTGGCTGGTAGCTTCTTAGAATAGAGCCAACAAAGTTTGAGAAAGAAAAATTACCTTGACCTACTTATAAGGTCACAGGGACAAATATGTCATTCACTTTAAAAACTTCTGAAGAAGAATAAAAATACAAAGAATCATATAATGATATTTGGCAATTAGTTTCAACTGATGGAGTCGATAAAGGTTTTGTCTTCCGTGTCTTCTACGATGGGGACATGGAAGAGACAAAAAATGATTTGCAACACCTGGAATATTTTGTTTCCTCTCCTTCCTATATACTGTCTTTTCTATCTACTTTCTGTTGTAGGCGATGTCTTCCTTTGTGCGGTTTGAAATTCTCCCTACGGTACCATCTTGCGTACATACTCTTTTTGTCTCTGCAGGTAGGGCGTAAGAATTGTACCTGCTGCCCCCAATTGCATGATCGTAAGAGGCGACTAAATTTGGGACCTTATCTCTTCTCTCCTTTCTAAATAACTTTCTTCTTCCTAATGTCTCCCTTGACAATGCCTCACTTTTGGCCATTTGTTGAGCGTTCGCCCCTGTGAGGAAGGCTTTGGGTTCTGTCCCCTGGCCGAGACATACCAAAGTCTTTAAAAATGGTAGTTTCTACTCCTGCTTAACGCTCAGCAAATTAGGAGTGGGACGACTGGTTCGCCCGTTGTCAGTATAATGTGACCGGGTGGGGCGTCCTGCTGGGTGTCTTCGGCAGTATGTTTCAGTGAGGTAGCACTATAAAGTCGGCATCAGTTCCGCGCTATCACAAGGAGACAAACACGAACATATCGCAGCCTCCCAAAATACACACACATACACTACACGCATGCATCTTGCACACAGGGGAGGCCGTCCTTAAATGACCTTAGCTGTTAATAGGACGTTAAACAAAATCAAACAAACAAACAAACTCTAATCAAATCTGTTTACTTTTATTCGATCCAAATGGGAACACAAATATGTAATTAGATTTATATATTATGATACTTATAAATTTGGCTTGCGGTGTAAGACTCATTGACACTGTGTTGTCGGTCGACAACGTAGTACTAGCCAGGTTTACTCAATAAAAGGCCCTGCAGGTAGGGCGTAAGAATTGTACATGCTGCCCCCAATTGCATGATCGTAACAGGCGACTAAATTTGGGACCTTATCTCTTCTCTCCTTTCTAAATAACTTT